CTAGTGTGCAAAAGGCCCTGTGCTCAATCCCCAGTGCCTAGAGGGGGCGGGGAAGACATTTATTTCAGAGATAGTGGAAAGGGTAAAAAGAAAAGGTACGTAAAGGACCCAATACCTAAGTGGTGCCAATAAATAAAAGTTACAATCTCTGAAAAAGCTGAGTGAAGAGCTCTGGAGAATCTTCCAGGAGCTACTTTCATAAGTGCCAGCTATCTGCTAGGAGCTTTATCATATAGTCTCATTTTATGTGTAAACTACCCTTTGGGCATTTTCCCAGTTCCCACTTTCCTGGGTTTTTTGTTTTTTGGTGGTACTGGAGTTCAAACTCAGGTAGGCAGGCGCTCTACCACCTGAACCACTCTGCCAGCCCAGGTCTTTCTGATTCAAACACTTAGGTAAGCTGTTTGTGTGCCTTTTTGAAAGCATGCTGCCCTCAAACAGTGGTTTCAACTGGAAAATTAAAATTTAACACATTTTTGTAAAAATAAATTCCAAAGTAGATACTGTTTTTTTTAATCTTAAGCCTTCCACCATAACTGAGGTTTACTATCTAAAGCACCACAATTAATAACTTCAGTAGTAGCTGTGATTATACAGAAACCATTATTTACAAACTCCAGTTCATCAAAGTAAGCCAAATAATGGGCCACCCATGCACACAGTGTAATACAAACCACAGCTCTAACCAACAACCAAGGCCTAACCGCTGAACTGGTCAGAGGCCTTGGTAGCACTTGCATTCACTCAGAGATTGAATACAGGTCCCAAAGTAAACTCCTGGAAAAGTCCGAGACAAACCTGCCAGTAACAAATTCACATTTTATTTGGATTGAGGCTTTAAGTAGTATATAATCTAACAACTCTTCTGTCATCTAAAAATGTTTATTAGTATTGTGTAAGTTGGGAATCCTCCCAAACTAGTAATTTCCAGTCGGATGACCAAAGTTCTGAATCAGTAACAAAAATCTTATGCAGAAAACAAAGACATGGGAGTTTTACAGATCCCACATTAAACCTTAAGGGTATTCCAAAAATTAAACTCCAATACAGGAGTTTAACTGTAATCTTACAAAGCAGATAATTCATTGGTTTTTTGTTCTTGATTTTGTTTTTTGAGACAGGGTTTCACTGTGCTGCCCTGGTGAGTCTTGAAATCCTGAGTCCAGTGATACTACTGCCTCCACCTACAGCATACCAGATTACAGGTGTGAACCACCACATCTAGCTACAATAGTGGTGGGTTGTTTTATTTTGTTTTGTGGTACTGGGGATTGAACCCAAGGCCACATGAATGCCAGGCAAACACTAAACCACTGAGCTACATCCCCAGCCCTATGACAGTGGCTTTAAAGTTCTTTTCTGAAGATCTTTAAAAGTTTGATAAAAAAGCTGGATACCAGTGACTCACACCTGTAATGCTAGCTACTTGGGAGCAAAGATCAGGAGAATCAAGGTTCGAGGCCAGCCCAAACAAATAGTTCTTAAGACCCTATCTCAAAATACCCAACACACATACACACACAGGGCTGGTGGAGTGGCTCATGTGATAGAGTGCCTGTCTACCAAGTGTAAGACCCTGAGTTCAAACCTCCACACTGTCAAAAAAAGTTTGATAAAGGCCTTTCTCCAAAAATCTGCACATGTCTACAGATATAAAATTCTGCATGTTAATTAAGGTAACTTAGTAAAGCCCTTCCATAGCCCTTCTTAAGGATGGAGAATTTACCAGCCCCAGATAAAGAACTCTCATTTTAAAACTTATTAATAAGTCAGGACTGGTGTTATACACACACCTGTAATCAAGGTGAAGAGATTGAGGCAGGAGGATAGAGTTCAAGGCCAACCTGAGCTACACAGCAAGCTCTCATCTGAAAGAAAAAAAAAAAAATTTTCTAACATTTTAAAAAGATTTTCTCCTACTTCTTAAAGCCCTTGAAGAAGTTACACTTACCAATTTATAAAAATTGTACCTACACACAACTTTACATTACAAGGGTACATCTTCCATGATATTTAAATTCTTGTAAAAGAAACATCTAGTGTCCTTTATCCACTAATATTAAGATGTTGAGGGACTAGAGGATGTAACTCAGTGGTAGTGTGACCAAGGCCCTCAGTTCAATCCCCAGACAGGGAGGAGGTGGGTGCGGGGGAGAGGAGAAAGAGACAGAGAACCAGAACAAGAAAGAGAAGGAACAAGAGCAAAGAAGAGAATTCCAAGATATTGTCAAGGCCAGTGACCTTGAGAAGTTTACAATATAGTTGCATAGTTTTAATTAAAAAAAAAAAACAAAAAACAAAAAAAAATTCAACAATTTACTGACCACTTTGAACAAAAATAGGTGTGGTTTTTATAGATAGGAAAAGTTAAACTACAGGAAAAAAGGACCAAAACGTGTTTGATCTATAACATATACCTAGCTTGAAATCCATCATCATCAATTCCAGAAGTTAAGAGAACTTGAGACATGGAATGAAAGAAAACACTGAATTAGGTACCATTAATAAACTCCATAGAATACAACCATAATTTCATAGAATACAACCATAATTTCTGTGAATAGTTTACCTAAAAAAAAAAATCTCTCTCACAGACACAGACACACACACACACACACACACACACACACGTACGTATATGTGGGCAGCGGCAACACATGTCTGTAATTCCAGCACTTGGGAGGTTCTAGAGTTCAAGGCCAGCCATCTCAGAAAAGAAACAGCATATGGCTCAGTGGCAGAGCACTTTGCCTAACATGCCCAAGGTCCTGGGCTCCATCCCCAGCACCACCAAAAGTGAGTCTCGCCATTTCTCAACATATTTATCAGCTAGTGCAAGGCAGGGTATGGATTATGAGCTAACTTATTTGCTGTCCTCAAGAGCAATTTTCTAATACTGTTCAACTACATGAAAAACACAAAATTTACACATTTTGAGTTGTTTCCCAAAACATAAAATACTCTCCAAAAGGTTGATTTGGGGGCTGAGGGTGTAGCAGAGCACCCACCTAGCAAGAACAAGGCACTGAGTTCAAACTCCAGTATGAAAGTTTAATAATTTTTTTCTCTATTAGAGGATAAAACATGTGGCCAACAGAATTTTAATGAAGAAAATATATTCTTTTTAAGATGTCATCCTCATAGTTAATGAGTCCTGGAATAGTAACAGTGTTTATGGAAGCTCATTTTTGACCCTTGAGTTCATTTTTTATTTAGGTATTTGTGCACGCATACTGTACTGGGGTTTGAATTCAGAGCTTTGCAGGCTGGGGGAATGGCTCAAGGGGCAGAGTACTTGCTAAGCAAGTGCAAGGCCATGAGTTCAAACCCCAGTACCACCACCAAAAAAAAAGCAGGTGCTCTGCCACTTGGCCACACCTCCAGCCCCCACTTGAATTTAAAAAACAGGGACAGCCACTTTACCTGAGTATCATTTATGTTGAAATCAGTCAGGTCTACTTATTTAGGAGTGAAAAAAATTGTAGTTTATAAAAAACTATTATACATACATATTTATGTAACTGAGTAAGAGAAAGAAGCATTAACTTTGTTCCAGTACTTTAAACAAAATACGCGTTACTATTAACGAAACACTAAAAAATATACGTGATTTGTCACTTCCTTCCAAAAAGACTGCAGAGCGAAATGACAGAGGGAATGAAAACAGATCCCTGGAACTCCAGAATCAGGTCATAGTGCCTGCACAACGTTTAGCACAATGTAAACCAACCTGAAGGAGTGAAAACTCTGGATACAGGAAGTTGTGAAAGTACTGCCTTGTAAGTAACAAAAGAAGGGTTTCTCCAAATATTCAAGTCTAGCAAAGAAAAATGTCTACTATCCTGTGAAACCGCCAGCGGCTCCAACTTCCTGGCCTAAGAGCAACATTCAAGTATTACATGTATGTAGGATTTATGTAGACAGATCATCACACTGTCAGGAATAAAATCACTGTTACTAGTATTTCCCCACCCCAAGTCCATCCTGAATTTGTACTAATCCTAAAAATAGTAAACTGCTTTGAGAAACTACCTGTACTGTCCATCAGGAGAAACTAGTTCTAAATACTTCAGTAACACTCCTTCAGCAGAAGCTGCTAAGTAGGCATGACTAAGTTATAAGCACTGCAGAGCTCCACAAGTAAGAGCCATCCAGGCATTTCCCCTCATTATTTCCTGTTATTTGAAGGATTAAATGGTTTGAAAAGCCCGTTGCACTCTTTTTAGTGTCCCAACAAGTACAAAAGCATAAAGAGATTCCTACCCAGGACTTTTTTCTCTCTAAAACAGACTTGAGATAATCCGGATATATATTTTCATCCCATTGTCAATTGTTGGGCTGTGGTTTGTTTGTTTGTGGCGAGGGGAGTCCTGGGGTTTGAACTCAGGGCCTCACACTTGCTAGGCAGGTGCTCTACCACCCGAGCCACTCCACTAGCCCTGTCTTGTGTGTTTCGAGATAGGGTCTCTTAAACTATTTGACTGGGCTGGCCTCAAACCGAGATCCTCCTGATCTCTGCCTCTTGTATAGCTATGACTAAAAACGTGAGCCACCAGCTCCTGGCAGTTGGTTCTTTTTCATTTGGACAAGTCACTATTTAAAAATGAATTTAAGGCTGAGGGTGTAGCTCAGTGGTAGAGCACAAGTCAGATCAACTTTGCTCCATGACGGCAGGAAGAGTTGGTTTATCTGTGCAGTTATTGCTGGAACAAGCTTTAGGAGCAGGAATGAGCCTAAGTTTACAAGACACCCTTTTTCCTGATTGGCTTTAATATCATTACCAGCCCCGAGTAGTAAACCGAGTGCGCTTACTCTACAGAATCCCTTTGAAAAATGGGGGAGGGAAATCTACGGACTTCTCAAAGGTCCTTTCACAAGGCCTTTTATGTTAAGGCACCCCGGAAAGGCGTGAAGGGGGAAGCAGCCCAAGAAGCCCGGTCCCTTTCCTTTCGCCCCCAGGAGCACCCCCACAGCGCTGGCGCAGCCAAGTAGGTCCTCACCTCCTGGATGCGCTTCCGGGCGCGCTGCAGCACTTCCTCGTAGCCCTTCTGCCGCAGCTCGCTCAGGCTCTCGTAATACTCCTCAGGATCATCGGTCTCGGTGAAGAGCACCTGGGAAAGGATTTTCCAGCCGCAGGTGTCCAGGCCGTGGCCCAGGTAGACCTGGAGCTGGTAACACAGCGTGTCGATCTCCTGCTCAGTCATCTCGGGGGCGCCCCCGAACAGCACGGTCCACATGCCGGAGGGCTCTTCGGGGAACACCGGCAGGCAAGGCTCCAGCTGCGAGTTCACGGAGCACAGCTGCTGGTGCACGGCGCGCAGATCCTGGAAGGAGAAGAGCCCGGCCCAGCTGCACTCCTCGGCCGGGGACTCCAGCTCGGCGGCGGGCGGTGGCTGCTCTTCGTCCTCCCGCACCATTTCCAGCACCTCGATCTCCTCGGAGACCGCTCCGGACGAGCTCACGACCCGCACGGAGGACATCGGGGCCTCCCTGGGCGCCGGCGGGGCGGGTGCCACCGCCTCTCTCCGCACCGGGCTGGGTTTGGTCCGCGCGGGGCTTTGGAGAGGACTCTCCGCCCCTTTGCCGGCCGGGCTCCGCACCGGCGGGTCCCCGCGAGGACTGCGCGCGATGCGCGGAGAGCCACCCTCCGCCCAGGCCGGGCTCCTCCGGGGCCCAGGACTCCTGGCCAGCGCCGCGGGGCCACCGATCTCGGGCCGGCCTCTGCCCGCCGGGCTGCCGGGGCCGCGGGTCCCGTCGGATGCGGGTGCGCCGGTCTCGGCGCCCCCTCGTGCCCCCACCGGTTCCCGGGAGCCGCTCCTCTGCCTCTGCGCTGTCCGGTTGTGGCAGGTTATGGCAAACTTGCCCTCAATTTCGTTCCAGGCCACAATGAAGACGAACTTGTGCTTCTCGTGCTCATCAAACACATGGGGCCGCACGGCCACCCAGTCCGACTCGAGTGTCTCCTCCAGCGCAAACGACATGGTGGCTCGGGCGCCGGGCCGCGGGGAGGGCCCCGGGCCAGCCCGCCCCAGGTCTCTGCGGCTGGCTTCGCCGCGCCCCCTGCTCACCCTCGCCGGGCGCCTTCAGCCATCTTAGCGCCGGCCCACCGGCCGGCTCCCTGCGCTCGCTCGTCCTGTCCCTTGCCCTCGGACCGCCGAGCTTCTTTGTGGCGCGGCTCCCGGGAAAGACAATACGCGTCTCCGGAGCAGGTAGTTCACATGGTCACGTGCGGCCGGATCTGTTTACAAGCCCCGCGCTGCCGCAGCGCCGGGCCGAGGGCCGCCCCGCCGCCCCCTGCGCGAGGCCGCGGGACTGTGTCTGTGGCTCTCGGGAGGCGAGGCGCCGGGGCCGGGCGGCGCGGAGTACGGCTTCGCCGCTCGCGGGGCCGAGCCCTCCGCCCCTGCTCTTCCTCCTCCCCACCGCGCCGAGCCGGCCTGACCCACCGACGCGTCTCCTAAAGTCTGCGCTTCAGCATCGCCACAATGTTGCCATTCGGCTGCTGACGTCAGCGGCTCCACGAGGGACGTAAACACGGGCACGTGCCGCACGCTAGTGACGCGGCGGCGCGCTCCCCGCGTGCGCGCGCACCGTCCCGCTCCGCCCCTCCGCGTCGCCCCCGACGCCACACGCGAGCGGCTTTGCTCCCGACTCTCCTTGCTGCTCAGCCTCCTCCTAACAAGGCCTGGAGCTCTGGCAGGCCCGCCGCAGGCTCCCGGGGTATTGAGAGTGGCAGGTGTGTCCTGCGGCACAGGTGGTCTCGGACCCCCGGCGAAAGAGGAACAAAGGCAGAGAAACTGAGACGTTTCGAAGTCCAGGCATTCAAAGGGACCCTCTTGGTGTAGATTTGCCTCCATTGGTCCTGGGGGAATCGCCATAAGTCCTGTGTTTAGAAACAACTATCATGCCACAACACGGGAACGCCAAACTTTTTTGGGCTCCCCCCGAACTGTTGGGTTCTCCCCTAACATCCGTGAGACAAAATTAAGATATGAAAGGGAAATACCATAAGACAACTCAGGAGAAGTCTCTAAAAAATGAAATTTCAGTCATGTCCTAGAAGTATGAACATTTATGTGTCGGTTCAGTAGTGTCTTATTGATTCAGGTGTCATGATTGTGTACTATTCTGTGAACCTTGTTTGTAGGTCACTGGGCTTCTGTCCCTTTTGAAGTTGTATTAAATTATCAGAGTTCCCAGAACGTACATGCAAAGAACTACCAACTTAAACTTTGATGAAATATATTCTTAAAATTGCCTAGTAGGTTTAATAATTCAGTTTATATTATGGACATTTTCTTTCTTACTCATGTCCAAGTCACAGGTCAGGTGCTCTGCACCACAGCAAAGCACAATGGCAATTTTTCTTTTACTTTTAGAATTACTTACTTTTATCCATATTTGTAAAATGTGTGTGAAACCATTTGAATTACTGTTGCATTGTCAGCTACACTTTTCCCTGAAAAAAAATAGGGAAAAGTTTTAGCACTGTCACTTGGCTGAACATCTTAGATCCATAGATCTGCTTTGACACCTCATGTCTCCCCTCTCCCCCAAAAAAGGTACTTTGAGTAGGATGAGCAGAAAGGATAAAGGACTTTGGTCTTTAACTGTTTTACCCTTCTTTATATGAAACCAATCTTGCAACTGTGAGCTTGTGTCAACTTTCAAATGCAAATCAAAGACATAACTTTTAAAATACTGGAAAATATTGAATAATAAGGGATGGGAGGGAAGGTAATACAGGGGGTTAACTGACCAAAGTACAGTGTATTCACAACTGAGATACTCTAAGAAATCCCTCTGAACACTGACTTTGGAATTAAGAATGGACAGATCCATAAAAATGAAGGAGGGTGAAATTGTAGCTGTGCTTTGTATTCATATGCAACATGGAACAATGAAATCTTTTGCAGTTGTTTTAGATAGGGTGGAGAGGGAGAGAGATGGTAGGAACAAACGTAACCATTGCTCTATGTAAGGCTATTCAGAAATATGACAATCCCCTCTGTACAGTTAATGTATGCTACTAAAAATGAGAGAAAAAATACAGGAAGAAGTCTAGGCATGTAGCTCTAGTGGCAGCGCTCAGCTAGCATGCATGAGGCCCTGGGTTCAAAAATAATAAGCCAGATGCCAGTGACCTGCATCTGTTTCCCTAGCTACTCAGGAGGCAGAGATCAGAAGGATCAGGGTTCAAAGCCAGCCCAGGCAAATAGTTCCAGAGACCCCCATCTTGGAAAAACCCATCACGAAAACAGAGCTGGTGGAGTGGTTCAAGGCATAGGCCCTGAGTTCAACCCCCAGTACAACAAAAATAAATAAATATAATGAAATGAAGTACTGGAAGAAAAAGAGAAAACCTACTGCAAATCAAAATCATCAACTGAGCCAGACAAAAGCACATTATAGAAAACTTTCCCTTTTCTGTGAAAAAGTCACTGCTAAAAGTTTTTCTGATAAAATTACTGACATGATCACTAGCTCTCTTTGTTCAATACTTTACACGTAAGTAAGAATCCAGAGAATACATGCTAAAATGTTTTTAACAAATTTTATGTACATATATATTAAAAGTATAGTATGTATACACAGATACAAAATGGCATCTTATCCCAGGAGGGCCAGTGAAGAGTTGTTCATGGTTACACAGGTGTCAAGTGTTTTCCCCCAACACTCTAGTCACTATGTTTTGTCCAAAGAGAAGTTTCAATGTTTCTTGTTTCCTCTATCTTAGTAATTGTTATCCTAGAAATGAAAAAAAAACAAACCAAAATTTCCATGACAGATTACTGTAATACTCTACAGTTCTTTATTTAGGTCTGTATCCGATTGTCAAGCAAGATATCTAAATGTATAAATTACTCCCTGGGAATAAGTAAAGCTACAGAAAAACCACAAACACACCATCCCAGCTTTGAAAGGGCTTGAAAACTATTATCTGTTTACGTTTTTTAAACTATTGAGGATTGTTGAATAATCTGGGAAATGCTTTCGTTAGACCTTTTAATAAAACTGTGATTGTTTTATAGCGACTTTCAATTACATGGCAGTGTCCTGCACATGTTCATTTTTATCCTCACAATAACAATGTAATGTAGGTGTGAAAGGAATAAATATCTTTAATTTTATATGTGTGAAAAAACAGTTCTGGTTAGTCAGGTGCTACATCCTAGAGTTAGAAGCAGTGTTCAGGGGCCAATCTCCAAATCCACTGCCATCTCAGTTGAATTCTCCCAGTCCCTGAAAAGAAGTTAGAAATGCAGCAGTTTTGGGGAGGGGATAACATTTGTGAAAGTGGCAGAAGCAGGATTGAACAGGCTAACTCTACAGGCAAAGATTGCCCCTTTAAAGGGGTTCCCCTTTAGCTGGTGAAGTGGCTTAAGCAGTAAGAGCTCCTGCCTAGCAACCATAAGGCCCTGAGTTCAAACCCCAGTGCCACCAAAAAGACGGGGAGGGGGGCTCTCTCCATTTAGTGAAAGTAGTTAGGCCTTGCTCCATTGTTGGCTAGGGACCAGCCTGAGAAAAATGTAGGATGAAAACCTGAAGCTGACTCCGAAGACCCAAATAGCTGGAGACTCAATTTATCACACTCCTTCCAGCTGAGTGAGCCCTTTCTTGAAAGAGGATTTGATTGACACATCACATCTGCCACAGTTTACCTTGTGGGCCACTTGGATTCACTCCATAAAAACGCAGGAGCAGCAGCTCCAGCTCCTCCAGGGCAGTGGTAGGCCTCTCTTCCCGAAGGGAAGTTGAGAAGAGAAAGGTTTGCAGGGTGAATCACAGCCATGGTAATAGTTGATATTTTGGCCACAACTGGTACTCAATGACTTCCTTCCTCTGCTCTCCATACCAAAGTGGCCACCTGCTGCCCTCAGTTGCTCACCTGGTGGTGTGTCCCAAACGCTAATTCCTGTGAGGTCTGATTCTTGCTAATGTTATCCATGTGTAGTCTCCATTGCTCTATCTGTCACAATTAGTCAAGGTTATATCATGGAGCACCCAAGTGGATCTCTTGAATTTCCACACACATTCTTCCCTATTCCCATCATGTGATAGCAATCCTGCCCCCGATTGATCAGGGTCAATTAGGTCAAGATGGTGGCTTTGAATTTTCCTGGCTAGAGAGCCCAAAGTGTCCAAGGGAAGCTGCAGCCTGTAGTTCACAGAGACCCTAATTATGTCCCCTGGCATTGGGATCAGAACCACTAATCCTGAAGAATTTAGAGCTCTGGGTGCCCCCTTGGGAGTTATCTTGAAAGTACAGTAAGGCCACTCCTGCTTCTTCCTGTTGGTTCTCAGACTCATGTATTATATTCTACCAGACACGATGTCTCATAAGGTATGTAATTCAATATCTGTACCATGTCCTGGAGGATGGTACGCCCATCCTTTCAGGGTATTGCCTCTGAGCTACTGCATACTGCCAATACTCCATTTAGCCAGTAGCCTCTAGAGGAGGCAGTAGTGTAATTATATGACCAGAGGATCTACAAAATGGGTTCTATGGTAAGATACTATGTCATTTCAAGTCTATAGATTGAGCAGTCTGTAAGTGGCTTGATGGTGGTGCTGGCTGAAGCCTTCAGGCAGGGATAGCACATCCTTGCTTTCTATTCCCATGAGAAAAAACACTGACCCCCTCCAAGAGGAAAGAAAAGGATTCCATGTAATAGTCCATATGCTACCAAGTGACTGGTTGGCCTCCTCAAGGAATGCCATCCTGGGGACTCAGCTTCAATGTCTGTTGCTGGCAGCTTGAACCTTCAGATCAGCAGTCACAAGAAAAGCCTTGGTAAGTGGTAACCCATGTTTTTCAGCCTATGCACAGCATCCGTGTCTGGCACTGTAGCCCATGTCATCTGCTTACCATGCCAGTGAACATCAACTGGTCAAGTTATTTTGGTGCCCATGCCATGTAGATACTTTGTGATGGGCATTACATATGATTTTTAAAGAATCTTCATACCTTGTGTCCACACTTATATGTCCATGTACCTGTCTCCTCCCTAGACCTCCTTGTCTCTGATATTTTCTCTTTACAGGCTCCTAACCATTCAACACTGACCATGAATTCATATACACTTTGATTCTGTGTC